TTGGTATCTTAAAATGCTCCTTTTTATACGTTTGATATTCAATAAAAGTGTTATGCTCTTTCTCGTGCCTTTTCCTCAGCAATTTCGAGATTTTCTTCTAGTTGATAAATTGAATTTTTAGATTTTATAAAATCTTTAATGAGAATTCAGTTTAGCCCTTAAAACTGTTGAACAATATCTTTATTTACAAGAATTGTATGCTAAATCGAACCTTAATAATCTAAAAAAAATTCAACCTTTATTTCAGGTTCATTTTAAATAAACAGAAAAAAATTAGTTCATCTTGACTGACAAAAGAGATGATGCATTCCTTCTGCAGAAGCTGAACAACGTGCACGTCAAAACTATCATGATGAAATAGTACAACTTGCATAAGAGAAGAGGAGGGAAATTATATTTCCATATATTTAGCAAAAGAAACCAAACTTTATTCATATTAGTATAATGAATTTGTTGTAGATTTAATAGTATCAAAATATTCTTTCCTTATAGATGTTATGGGATTGATCTAGTTTCTTCACAGTCTCAATATGACCCATTTGTGTTAGACTAGATAAAAGTAGCAAGGCAGTTTTCAGGTTGTTGCATTAATTAAAAACATCTTTCAAGGCATCTGCCATGTGCAGTTGGTTTTTTCTTCCCTGGAAAGATGGACTTTGTCAATAGCAAGGGAATATTGAAAGCCGGTCAGACTGAATGCAATTCTCTTGAAAAAGGACCAGGATTATTCTACCATACACTGGCCTCACGTTTCGTTCCCCCCCCCCAGAAATGTAGTGTATGGTCGACAGTTTTTAGACCATAATTCTGACTGTTATAGTTATTTTTGTGACATTACCGCTGGTAATAATTTCCTAGTAAAGGAAGAAGATAATCTGATTGGGTCGGAAACAAAAGCCTGCTTCAAAGCTGTTTCCAACTCAGTTAGTCGAGAGGAGGATTATTTTAATCAGTGAAACCTTATTTTTGCTTATATTTTGCGATTTCTACGAAATTTGGGAACTGCTACAAACTATGCTAATGAATGTATATGCATACAGCAGCAATTATGCTAAATCATAAATGCAATGTGGTCAGCTTAAAATTTTTTCACAGTTATTAACGTTACTTTGTTTAATCGGAAACGGCAAAGTACTTAAAGACTCTTTGCTTAAGGATAATGATCCTTCGTAACGGACTTTCTAAGAACAACTGACTCATATTTACATAACGCATCAGGAAAACTATGAAAATGCCTCAACAGTTAGCCCTTTCGCTAACTTTCGAATCGACTAGTGTGGCCTTCATTAAAGATGAGACGGCGACACTGCAAAACATGGCAGCACTTTTTATCCACTATCGCAAACGGTAAATCCGTTTACTGAATTGGATGTTAAAATTTCATCTGAAAAATAGCTTTCATATATTGCCTATTTAATTAATGTAAGCTTTCCGAGAAACAGGTTTTATAAATAAGCTTCATTTTTAGGCTTTCTAAAACCATTTTAATGACCTTTCTCTATAGATATAACTGGATGGACTAATTAAATAATAATTAACCATTTACAATAATTTAAGCTTAGATCGAAAATCGCTCTATAAATGAAAAATTGAAAAAGGAATATGTAAATAAGGATGATTATAATCAATGTTTTACCTTCCAAATACTTCATTTATTCATAAATATTCATAGGTTTAATCTAAATTGTTCAATGAATACTTCTTTCTAAAACACGAATTACTTTCCACAGGAAAAAAGAAAAAAATGTGAAAAGCCTTCCGATTTTATATTACGCCCCAATGGGTGTTCTTTTTTAACGCTTGTCTGTTACCTTTATTTATTAAAGATTATGTTCTTCGCACTTAACCCATAAAATTCAATTCAAGAGCAATATCACAAAATATTTAAAAAAGAGCATATCTTTAGAATTTCCGATACACAGTCTCGCGTGCTGGAGACACTTTTACTGCTGCCATTGCTCGCTTTGAAATCGTTGAATTTTTTAAGCATAAATACGTTAAAGATTTACAAAATATGAAATAGATAATAAAACAAATTACAAATTTGGGTTTCCAGATGCCCATACTCGAGTGGAGGACTACGTTATTCAAAATTTGATGTCTCTAGGTACCGTTGTTTTTTCACAATGCGAGACACACGCATACATTCATGCAGATTCTTCATTATTTAATTTATTTAAATATAATCCAGGGCTCTAATAATTGGTAACAACAATTTGAAAAGTAAAACGCCGTTTTATAGCGAACTACACGAAATGCTAAAACTGAATTAGTAACCTTTCTAGGCAAATTGCCCGTTTGGGCTAAAAACTACAACACTCATCTTTTATATTGTCAAATTGTATTTTCGTTGCTTAATTTACATTAGTTAATGTAACTAAATAACGTTTCATACTGAACAGTATGTAATGGATATTCTTTTGTTCAGTTACGATTAATTTTACTGTTAAGATATATAAAATTAAGCAATGAAAATACAATTATACCTAATTGTAATAATAAAAAACTCTAAATTGAAACATTCGTATTCATCACAAGATAATGATCTAACAAACAATTATACATAACAATAATTCTTTAAAGGCACAAATTATGCAATGTTTGAAATTACAAATACGAAATAATAACAATAAAACTGCAATTTTCTATTCACAAAATAGTACATATTCCTTTTGTAAATATTTTATACCATTTTACACTTGAAGCTTTTCTTCACCCTTCAATATGTCCAATGCAATTACAAGAATTGCATTCCCTGGCATCTGACGATGAAAACCAAATAGAGATTCTATTTAAAGGTTTCCTATTAATATCCGTTTTACATGCATAAAATATCTCCTCTAAGAATCATATCTCATCTAAAATAATTAAAAAAGAAAAATCTGAAAGGTTTCAGATTTTAAATTACGTCCAAAGGGGGCGTTTTTTTAACATTTTGTGAGCTATCTTTATTTATAAAATATATTATTGTCTTACTTAAACCATAAACTTCAGTTCAACAGCAATATCGTAAAATAATTTTAAAAGACAATTTCCCCCCCCGCACAGTGTTGCCATTGCTCGCTTTGGGATTGTTTAGTTTGTTAATCAAAAAATTCGTTGAAGTGTTGCAAAGCATGAAATCGCTAATAAAACTAATTTAAAATTCAAATTAGGGCTTCCACATGCCCATATTCTATGGAAGATTACGTTATTCAAATTTTGGTGGCTCTAGGTACCGTTGTTTTATTACAGTGCGAGAAACATACATACATTCATGTAGATTCTTCATTATTGAATTTCTTTAAATATAATACAGGGCAATAACATATGGTGGCAACAATTTGAAAAGTGAAACAACGCTTGTGAATCGACGCAAAATGCCAAAACGAAATTAATAGGCCTTCTGTTCAAATTACTCCTTTGAACTAAAAACAACAGTTCTTTTACTTGAAATAAAACTCACTGGAAGAAGTTTTCGAGAGCAGAATAGCTTTTTCGCGTCATCTTTCGGAAACTGATAAACGCTAACATAATCTCTTGTTCCAAAGGTAGCTGAATTTACAATTCGATGCATAACATGATTAAGCATTATTAATATAGTAAATTGATAAAATCAACATTTAATAAGAAAAAACGAACACCGCGTGGTCAGTTACAAAAGTGACTAACAACAACAAAGGAATGACTCATCCTCGAGTTGCTAAATGAGTGTCATGGTCTTTTTCTTGCGAAGATCACACCCAGTGTTAAGAGGTTTTATTCATTTGACCACTCTTGGTGTCATATTGCATTAAATGCAGTAAAATGAATCTACCTCAAAGTATAGTGAATGTACATTGTGAAAAAAGAAAAAAAGGGGCAGTTCAATATCTCCCGTTCTACTGGACCGATTAATGAAATCCAAATTGTGTTTTTCATGTCTCGAAAGTGCGACTTAAGATATATATTAGATTTATATATAGCATTAATCTAACATAGGGATTTTGACACCAAATAGGACTTTTTCTGAAATGATATGTCAGTTTTTTCCATATTTCGATTCTATGACTCATTATGCCTAAATATTAAATTTTGTAAAATTTGATGCGAAATTTACGGAAAAATTCAAAAATTTATCTTGGCTTATTTTTCTGAGTTTGCGCCAAGACCTGGCGCAAACTTCACCTGGCGAACTTCTTAATATATGGCAACTTATTTTCCTTTCCCTTTTTACACTGTGCACCAGAGAAGAAAAGTCACTTTGTTCCTGCTTTCAATAATTTTAACAAAGTGCTTAAACCACATTTGATGTTTTATCGCTTTCAACAAATATGCCAAACTTCAAAACGCGCCAATATATAAATTCACGTATATCTTCGGAAATTTTGAATTAAAAACTCTAATTTTTTGCAGGTATACTTACAAATACATCTACTTTAAGATGATGGTAAAAATTATATAGGTAAAAATTATACATTCAAAATGTTTTTCGAAAAATTTATAAGAATTTTTAAAAAAATATAAATTTTAAAATAAATCATAAAAAATGTGCGAATTTTATTTGGAATGAATCTAAATTTCGAAATGTGAAAGAAGAATCAAATAAGTTTAATAGAAAAAAAGAGAGATCAATAAACATATACTAAATTTAATTAACACTGAGGAACTAATATTTTGAAAGCTAAACTTTTAAAACTACTCGTGCGATTTTTACGAAATTTGGCAGCTTGGCGTAAATTGAGTCACAGAATCAAAATATGGACAGAAATCAGCATGTTATTTCAGAAAAGTCCTATTTTGTGTCAAAATACCTATATTAGAACAATGCTATATATAAATATAATACATATCCTAAGTCGCAATTTCGAGATATGAAAAACGCAAGTTGACTTTTGTCAATTGGCTCAGTAGAACGAGAGATATAGAACTGTCTCCCCCTTTTTCTGCGCAGCGTACGCGTTATTCTAAACACTTAAAAAAAATGGCAGTAAATGTGTCTGTAATTATCTAAATTTCCAACATTTAATGCATATACAGACCTTTAACTTTCTTGAAATCGTTGGATGTCAAAAGTGGTGGTTCTTCTATTACAGTGCTGTTAAGTGATGAATTCTTGACTTGCAATGTAGCCAAATTATGTTTTTCTTTTTTCTTATAATAACTGTTCTCGTTAGTCGCTGAACTCCTGACAATGAGTTTTTCTTTCTTCTCCTTTTTACTTTGATGAACAATGGTAGAGATTTCTTCTATTTCGACAAGGCTAGACTGTTCAGATTCATTCAAGTGATGATCTGTTGTAACTTTACGGCCCGCTTCTGACATAGGTCTGAAAGCATATGTTTTTATTAAATTAACTTCTACTTTCCCTGAACATGATTTTGTACTTTGCTCATAAATATATTAATCACAAATCACTGCGCTTGTCTCATTTTGCTATATGTTGTACAAAATATATGCATTTTAAGCTAGGACCTTCACGCCCCTCTCGCTTTAAAAAACTGTGATAAAGAGAAGACTGAAAATTCTTACTGCTTTTATTGCAAATCTTGATTTGAATTGTTTACCAGTTTAATAATGAAGTATCTGACAAGGTTTACGTAAGCATATGTTTTTATTAAATTAACTTCTACTTTCTCTGAACATGATTTTGTACTTTGCTCATAAATATATTAATCACAAATCACTGCGCTTGTCTCATTTTGCTATATGTTGTACAAAATATATGCATTTTAAGCTAGGACCTTCACGCCCCTCTCGCTTTAAAAAACTGTGATAAAGAGAAGACTGAAAATTCTTACTGCTTTTACTGCAAATCTTGATTTGAATTGTTTACCAGTTTAATAATGAAGTATCTGACAAGGTTTACGAAGTATCTGACCAGGTTCTCATATTCATTCCAAATGGAGTAGTCACAAAGTAACAGAGATTGACTGAGAAAATCATTGATTCACAAATCGAACCTCAACTAAATGATATCAATTGCCAAAGAGAATACAAGACAATGGTAAAGCATTTGAATTTTAATGAACGGTATAAAAAAATAAAATCTGAAAGCTTTCAGGTTTTATATTACACCCAAACATCCAAACGAGCGGGTTTTTTCCCTCATTTCATTTTCACAAAGGTACATGTTTCGAAAGCATTTGGGCTAACGTCAAATTGTGCTAAAATTATTTAAAAACAACCTATCTTTAGAACTTCCTATAGTCAGTCTCGCTCGCTGGAAATAAAAATGTTTTATTCCCTATCGTGTTGCCACTGCTCGCTTTGAAATCGATGAATAAAACATTTCGTTAAAGTTTTACAAAATATGAAATAGACAATAAAACAAACACCAAATTCCGGCTTCCAGGTTCGGGTGGAGGACTATGTTATTCCAAATTTGATGATTCCAAGTACCGTTGTTTTTTCACAGGGGGAAAAACATGCATGCATTCATGTAGATTATTTAGTCTCTTTAAATATAATACAGGGCGATAATATTTAGTGGCAACAATTTGAAAAGTGATTCGGGAATTTAAAGTGATTCAGCGAAAAATTCCGTTTTGAGGCAAACAGTCATCTTAGGCTAATGCTCATTTGGGCAAATAAACACGAAATTTGAAATTTTTCTTCATCTGAGTTTTAAAAGCTAAACTGAAAACAAAAATAATTAAAATTTTACATTTTATGGAGGCTCAAGGCACATGCTACGTTTTGACTTTGCTTAAATTAGGCCCTTCATATATGTATATATATACAATATACATATGCAGTTGTGTCCCGTTATAACGACCTTTTCAGAGTTATAGAAAAAGGACGTTACAGCGAGTAGTTTTAGAGAAAATAGATTAAATATTCTCCCATCAGTTGAAGATTTGTGAATCGGTATTGAAATGGAATGGCCGTTGCAATGAGTAGTTGTTACAGCTATCATCGACAATATATAGTATGTATAAAAAAGTTATTTTTAACTATTCATTTTTTTAAAAAGCTACACTGGTAAAAACAGACTAAATTGCCTATAAAGTTTATTATTCACTATCAATGGAAATAAGCTTAACGCACAGTTAAATGTCTAAACAGACAGTTAACGTTTTACGTTTTCACGCAAACATATCCTCCATTTCACTTAATTCGTTTTCTAATTCTTACTAAAGAATATTCATTATGTTTTTTAAGCTTTCACTTTTATTCTCAGATTGTTTTCATTTTAGGCGAAATATTTTCTAAAGCGTATTCAGCCACCAAATTTCAATTAAAATGCCATAACTGAATTCCCTTATCCTCTCTTCTTCTCCACATGCAATCTAATTAGTATTATAAGTTAATGTAATGTAAAGAAAAAGGGATTTTAAAGAATTAAATCTAATTACTGTCTATTCACGGAATTCTTCCATATTAGGAACCCAGACTGCATTATTTTACTAAATATATTAGTGTTGCAGATTTTGCACATAAGTAAATAATTTTAGTGAAATTGTAATGTTTTTAATATAATGGTAACATGAAATGCTTGAAAGAGACGATGCTGTGCTGGAATAATAAGAATACCAGGGCAAATTCATTTAACATTGAGTAAATGGCTATCTCGCTAAAATGACGAGATATCGCCAACCCAGCGACTACTTTTTGTCACCAAATTTGGTGAAATTCGCCAAAGTTGCCAACTTGGTGACCATTCGGCGACATTTTGTTCTGGTACCGTAATGGAGTAGTTGTTATTGATCCCTATGTGCAACTGTACCCGTATACGGCCCCTATATATAATTTCAACCATATATGCCTACCTGTAATTTTGAGAAGTGGAAAGTACTAGAAATTTCTTCGGGGTTGAAGAAGCATTATGTAACCCCGAAGAGAGCACCAGTTCTCAGTTTTTTCAGCTCAGAGTTGACTTCGGAATATTGAGAGATCTCCGAGCGATCTCGTTAAGCAATCTGGTTAAGCAAAGAAATGCAGTACGAAGGCTTTACCAGAGAACAAGAAATCCTTACTGACAAGCAACAACTTAACCATCTCAATGATGCTGTCAGTTCTGTTATCAATTAACAGGCACAAAATGACTGGACTAACTATCTAAATTCACTCTCAACGGGTGATAATTCAATCTGGAGAGAGCGTTTCAAGATTCAAGAAATGCTACAATCATATTCCGCCCGCCCTGATGGGATCCACTATACCGAAATTGAAAAAGTACAATTTTTAGCAACGCATCAAGAATCTCAGTTTAGCACGAACAACATACATGACTCAGCAACAGAACACATAGTCTCTGACTTTCCCTCTAGGCACATACCAAGCCCACTCGCAAACAACATAGTCCCAATCCTACCGTCAGGAATACTGGGCTATGTAAAGAAGCTCAAATCCAAGAAAAGTCCTGGCATTTACTATATCAATAATAAAATGAACAAGACGTTATCATTTTCAAGCTGACAAGAATCTTCAATATCATTATTAGATGGCAGCATTTCAGGGCATATGACGGAAAATTACGAGTACAATGATTACACCAATATTACGAGTACAATGATTACACCAATATTGAAATCCAACAAATGTACTTCGGAGTCTGCGTCATATAGACCAATAAGACTTTTACCATGATTCAGCAAATTCATGGAAACTGTTATTCTGCCAAGGGTGAGGAGCACCTGGTTGATAAATTATCTTAATCCGTCAACAGCTTGGTTTTAGTTTGGTTATCAACATTCCACCAGCTGTATAGAGTCGTGGAGCATATGTCTCTGATGGATTTAACTCAAAACATACACCGGTGGACTATTCATCAACATAGCTAAGGCTTTTGACCGTGTATGGTTGGTTGTACTAATCTGCAAAATACACACTCTGGGTTTCCCAGAGTACATCACAAACATTATTAAATCCTATATAACAGGTAGACAGTTTGTCATTCACATCTCAAATACATATTCTAGTCGCCGGGATATATTAGCCAGTGTTCCAAAAGAGTTCTTATTAGGTCCCACTCTTTTCAACATCTGTGTAAACGACACCCTTGCATTACGCTGATGACACAGCGATCCTTGCACAAATGCATGTCTTAGTCCAGTTATTCAAAAACTGTAGCGTCCTCTATGTTTTCCCTTCATCTTATCTTTCCTTTCTGTACGTTTTAATTTTTGTAAGATGGCAAGACTGTTCGAAAGATAAACCTTCATTGGAATATCGTTTTCAAAAAGGCTACTTACTATTTGTTAAATAACAGACAATTTTAATCAAAGACAGACGTTCGTAATATGTGTGACACATTTTTAATCACATCTAATGACCGATGTGTTAATCTCTTTATTCTCCTAGTAATTTACTCATGGTTTCTTTTGATGTAAAATCATTATTCACCAATGTCCCAGTGGAGGGTGCATTAAGATGTCTAGAAACCAGACTTCGCGAATTTCATTTCTCTTGCATCGAAATTGATGAGCTAATTTCTCTCACTCAACTCTGTTTGAAACAAACACATTTTGTTTTCCAAAATAAATATTACAAGCAAACTGAGGGATTAGCCATGGGAAGTCCCCTCAGTCCCATCCTGGCTGATATCTACATGCATTATTATGAATCAAAATTGTTTGAAACTTTAAACTTCCCGGCATGGTTCCGCTACGTAGACGATACTTTTACCCTGTTTGAAGGTAATAAAGATGATTTAAATAAAGTTCTTTCAACAATGAATTCTATTGATCCTGCTATTCAGTTCACTTTTGAACTTGAGACTTGCAATTCTCTTCCGTTTCTCGACATTCTGGTCACACGTAACACACATCCAACTTCAGTACTACAGTTTACCGTAAACCTTCATCGGTTTGCCTTCCACCACACTTTAAATCATGTCATCCGACTAAACAAAAGTTAGCTTCATTTTATTCCTATGTTTTCCGTGCTCTTCAAGTTTGCTCCTCCAAACTAGCCCTTGATGAAGAACTAAATTATTTAAAAGCAATAGCTATTGACAGGGGCTTTTCACCCAACATTATTAATCAAGCAGTTAAAAAATTCTCATCTCAACACACTAAAAGCCACACTCTTATTTTAGGAGATTATAAAAATTCTGTTGTCATTCCCTTCTTCCATCAATTAGCTATAAAGTTGCACATATTTTGCAGAAAATTTAACTTTCGGGTTGTTTTTTTCTCCCATCAATAAAATTCCAACTTCTATAACTCAAGGACCCCATTCCGGATATGAATTCCTGGGGTATTTATAGGATTCCTTGCCAGTGTGGTTTAATTTACGTTGGCCAAACTAAGAGAGCCTTAAAATTTCGCGTCAAAGAACATGAGACATATGTTAGAAAAAAGGAAACACAGAGGTCTTCT